AGGTTTCCGTGATCCATCTGTACACTTGGTGTGCGATGTTCTGGCCAATTAAATGCATCTCATCAAGTCCAAAAAATGATGCACCCATGGAATGTCGGTAAGGCTGCTAATGGTGTCCCATACAAACCGCGTCGCTATGATAGTATATTTTTTTTGTTAAGTAACGCATGTATTCCTCTATATCATAGTCATTATGTTCAGATATTTACCGTATCTCCGTTAAGATACTCGCGGTTGCTTCTGCTTTGGTCCAGCTGAGCTCCACCAACGAAATATCTTGCTCGGCCATTGCCACTGGGACTGACGCAACTTGTAGCAAGGATAACACATACTCTGCAGCCGTAGTACGAAGTGTGTCCTGAGTGACATGCAAGATCCGTGACAGCAGGTATGTCTCCAGATGCAAGCATGAGATGCGCTTTTACTGGTATCGGCGCAGGAATGCCAGGACAACGCACTCGCATTCCAATTGTTCCCAAAACCTGAAGATCATCCATCAAAGGCTTTAAAAAGCTATGAATGTCTTTGGGCTTGTATGGTCCAGGGATAATGGCGACTTGGAGCATATTCTTCAGTTTGTATCTATATAGTATCCGGTTTATATCAGTGCCAAATCAAACCTTTATACGTTGCTAGAATACCTTTCGGATTGAGGAAGCGTGAAGACTACAAGGTGGACAATCGTCATTGATATTGTATTATTACGGCCTCGACGGAATGGCACGAAACCGTCCACAAACAAGCCAAGCGTAATGTCATACTCTCCATCGAAAAAATGGCGGCAGATTTCGAAGGCACGCCCATCAACAATATCAGGCGTGACGCCTTCTTCTCCTACACTCTTGTTGCCAAATCTTAAAGTATCGCGACTCGTAGCGGTGGCAAACAAACTTGCAAGAAGGTGTGAGATAGGGATATATCTCATGACCTGTGCAGGCTTCCCGTTTTCCAAATAACGAGGCTTCTCGCACTTTGGGCACTTGTCTTGACTGCCAGTGATAAGAACACATCCGTCCGCGCACATATCCAGATTCCTCGGCTTGATAGGGCAAATATATCCAGCCCTTTTGCTGGCCAAGTATGGGCTACACAAGTCTTTAAAGCTGCGATTTTCCACTACGAAAAATGTTTAACATGTATATACATTGATCACTACTCATTTACTTACTGAAGCTGTCGATAGAGTGCTTCGCAAAGCGATTGCAAAAGCTAATCAGATTGTCATGACAATCCCTCGGAAGATTGTAGTTAAGCTAATCAGATTGTCATGACAATCCCTCGGAAGATTGTAGTTAAGAACAATCGCCAATAGTTCGAGATCCCATCTGTTATCTTCGGCTTGCTGCTCGATATTTGAAACATCGATTTCTTCGACATCCCCTTCATTAATGCGAGTTGGCGCGTCCTCAAGTGGAAGCATAGCTTCGACGTCGCTACCTTCGTCGTTATTTTCGCCACAGCTTTCGTTGTCACTGGTCTCGTGGTCTACGCTGTCACTTTCGCGATCAGCCGCAATGATCTCCGGAGGGACCTCGAGATTAGCGTTTCCCATCAAGGTACCGGGATCGGCATTCGTTAGGTCGGGTGCTAACACCAACGCAGTAACTGGTGGAGGCGAACTGCTGCTGCTACGGCACTGTTCCCGCTTGTGTTCTTTGACGTGGTTTTTGTACTTTATTGCAGACCTAAAGGTCTCATCGCAGTTATCGCAACAATATATGGGCATGGTGGATAGTGGACGATGAGTATGAAATGATAGGCAAGTCTCAATTGAACGATATGTTATAGCCACTTGGTTAATTAAGGTGACAAATACTTTTAAATTACCGCTTCTTTCTTAAAAAAATGAACACTAACCAAACACCTTCCAACGCTAACCTCAATTTCCTCCAAGTCATCATTCGTATGGAGCATCGTCTTATCAATGTAGAGACGAATCAAGCAATCATTCTGGAGAAGCTCGACCAACTGCTAACGGCGCAATCCCTAGTCGAGGTGCCAGTTGTCGATGAAGCAGAACTTGCTGAGACGGTTGCCCTCATTCCCCACCCAGTGGCTCTAAATACCAAGGGGAAGATGGTGAAGAAAGCTAACAAGGATGATGTCGAGCGCCTTCTCCTTCAAGGCTACCACCAGTTTGAAGGTGGTGCTTTGATCAAAGCCAAGACGGACATCAAGCACATCCGGGAGCGTGTTGTGGTCGTTCTGGAGAAGAGATTGCGGGATCGTGCTGACAACAGCGCGACCTGCTACTTTGCTAAGCTGCAAAGCAAGGATAGCAACTGGGCTATCAGCCTTTTCACGAACCTGGCAAAGAAGCAGGGAATTGATTTTGCTGTCTGCCAGGACCAGTGGGCAGCTCGCCACATCGTCCAAGAATGCTGGAATAACTACGGCAGATCCAGCAAGTTGAGGTATGATAACTACTACACTAGAGCAACCACAATTGAATATATATTAACTTTCAGGTAGACAACAAGAACCGGCTTCTGCTTCTCTTCCTGCTTCTCTTCCTGCTGCTCTTCCTGTCTCTTCTGCTTCTCTTCCTGTTTCCGCTTCTGCTCTTCCTGTCTCTTCTGCCTCTCTTCCTGTTTTCCGCTTCTGCTCTTCCTGACTCTTCTGCTTCTCTTCCTGCTTCCGCTTCTGCTCTTCCTGCTTCTCCTCCTGTCTCTTCTGCTCTTCCTGTCTCTTCTGCCTCTCTTCCTGTTTCCGCTTCTGCTCTTCTTGTCTCTTCTGCTTCTCTTTCTGCTTCTCTTCCTGTCTCCGCTTCTGCTTTTCTTCCCTCCACATCATCTTCCGCAAGTGTTCCAAGATACCGAAGAAGGGTTGCTGTGCTTGCTGAGAGGGAAATGTAGACAGAGTCTACAAAAATTGCAGCTAAACGCTGTGAATGTGCTTACGGACCGAATACTGGATGCCATACCCGATTGGAGCGACCGAATGACGTGTTTGAGCCTTGTTTTGCGCGTCTCAGGTCGACGACAACGGCAACTACAACAACGACGACAAGGGATAAATCATGGTGGTGGTGTTGGTCTGTTGACCGATCTTGGTCTGCGCCGTTTCGCTTCTTCTTTGTCAGAAAACAAAATGGATTACCTCGGTCTGTTTATGGAATTCCGAGTGGCAACTCCGGATACGATTATGTTTATCCTCGACAAGCTCGGACCCAACTTTGCCTCAAATGTTATTTATAGTGATATAGTAGGATGTAAGCGATACTTGAAGATATCAAGCGATGGAATATGGAGTGTACATGACCGAAACGGTCTAATAAAGCGTCTGCGATAATCCACAAACGGCCTTAGCGTCAGGTTAGCTGCAGGAAAGAGAAGGTGGTTTTATATATTATATATTTAATCAAAGTGCTATCGAACTACATTGTAACATCCCCGATTTATTTTCTGCACCAACCATTTTTTATATCCTTCGCACATAAAAAAAACATCGATGACGTTATTTTGTATTATACGTACTTATGAGTTGGTGACGAAACCGTGAGCTATAAATATGGCATTTCAAAGAAACACGCGGGTCAATGTCAAACAATTCTCCCAACATCCAATCGATGGCAACAACTATAAGCTATGACCCTAACGAAATGTCAACAGCAAGCGATGCGAGCCCTGGAGCAAGCGCTGTTGTAGAACAGCACCATCGCCCTCTCGCCAATTCACCTAGTCCGTCACAAAGCTCAACCTCATCGTCAGTGATAAGCTGGGATGACACGTTCGATCTCGAAGTTGTTCTCGATGATACATAAAAAATTACGAATAAAATACAGTTTTACCTTTTTTAATACAATTTGAAAAGTACGAATAGCATTTAGTTGGATTAGTAGCTCCATGTATACAGTAGCAGGTACATCCAGCTGGCTTAGAGCTTTCTTTCTAAAGGGCAAATGACACAAAGTCAAATAGAATTTCGGAATACATGAGCGATAGAAGGATGTAGCGTCACACTGTATAAAATAAAAGAGCTACTGTACGTGCAAACAAATAAATCATGTTCATGCAGTGTGGCACGTAAAAATAAGCTTATATGAGGCAAGGTTGGCTGTAACATTTAGGGGCTTACATAGCCTTTTGGGTGGCCAAAACGTAAATCCATGAGACGGTCTTGGAATATGATTTTTGAGAGTGATAGCTGCAATGGGTGGGTAGTCATGGTTGGAATCGCTTCGAACGTCCTTGCCGATTTCTGTTTTCCTTAAATGGATAGTTTTAACGTTAAGTGTGATAAACCGTTGGCCTGTGCGTATACAGCACGCATGCCGAAGTTTTAAGATAGTCCAAGTCAGGGGAGGTCGAATATTATAATAAACTGTTAGCTTCCGAAATATAGATTAACAAGCCCATAACCGCCTACGTCATGATGATGGTGTAAATTCACCGTACTTGAAACAAGCGGTACTGCACAATTGTATTATGGACGAGGTCTCATAACATGTAATTAACTACAGGAGTAATTCGGCTGAGCACAAGATATATACGTAAGTATCACTGTTCGTTTCTATGCCATATTTATCATCAAGGTTAAAGATATCATTTCTACACATATATAACAACACATTACGTCTTGTTTCATCAATTTATCAGTATTACTGTGGCGTATGGTCAGGATTCCATCCACCCGAAGACGGTGGGTAAGATGGCAGTTGTTGATGTTGCTGGTGCTGTTGTTGGCTCTGCAAGATCTACGCCAACTGGCTTAATGCAGCAGCAGGATCTGTGATGGCTGCCTGTTGTTGTGGTTATTGCTGAGGGTCAACACCAGCGGTAGATGAAAGTGGACCTGGTGGTGGTGGTGGTTGTTATGACATGGTCGCAGGCGGGATAGGCTGCACTTGCTGCGTTGGAGGTGGTACTGGCTGTTGATAGTGCTGTTGTTGCTGTTGTGCTGCCATTTGAGTCTAGAAAAATTACACACACATACGTGAATATATGACGTAGAAAAACACTGAATGAGCGTGGTTTTTCTTCCTTTTAAGGCTAAATGTACGCCTGCCAACGAGAAGTGTATATATTTGATCCAAGAAGGCAATCACGGCTACTCTGAGCATTATCAAGAGACGTAAGAATTCCCAGAATAGCAACTGATTTTCTTTCCGCACGTTTCTCGATGGGTTGTTCTGATATGTCACATTAAAATATGGCGTGCTGTAGACTGGACCCTGAGAACTAAAAGCAAGGCGACCACAAGGAGTAAGTATATATAGCTGGGAGTGGCTATTCGTTGCAGCATGGTGACTAAAGATCAAACAGAGGTTTCAACTTTGGTAAGGCCCACGCTCCAACTCAGTTTTTTTGGAATTTCAAGTCAGCCACCAGAGACACTATACTACGCACTAAGTGGCTGTGTAGTATAACAACAGCCTGGTTTACAGCACGATACTACAGGCTTATCTTCGCTCCAATCAGTGAGAAATTCTACTGTATATTGATGTGGATTGACTTTAAATATCACAAGCTATTGGCTAAAGCTTATTATTGTCAGCAAGATGATGAATGGACTATCATGAGAGAAATACCGGTTGAATTTATCAGCATGGACACTGCAAGAGAATGATGCTAACCGTCCAGGGATGGAAGGTTCCATGAAAAAAAACCACTTTTCTACATAATGCAGGTAGAGAAGCTGAGATAATATAACAGAAAAGGCTACAGTACATAGCGTGTCATTTTATATAGTGTGCGTGCGGACATAGCAGTAGTAATTTCACAGTTATTTTTCAATCAGAGCTTGATTAGCATTGTTTTCTGAAAAAACGGATTTTGGTTTGGTTACATGATTAACCGTTCGGAGAAAGTAATTTCCGAAATCCGTTTCCGTGATTTTTTTGAAACGGCTAGGTAGGCGGAGTTTGTCACATGAGTGACTGAACTTCGTCCTAGGAACAATGATTCCGCAAACCGCAAATTATGCGTGTACGGCTAATGAGTTTTCCGCTTACACAAAAAGTGGCTGAGTGTGCCTGAATTTCCTGTTATCAGCGCAAATAAGCATGTCTCCCAATATACGTCAAAAGCGTAAACGAACAACAAAAGCCTATCAATTCTCGGATAAAGGGAAGAAGCTTATCAGATTGACAAGCACGGTCAATAAGTCGACTGCAAGTGATATAACCACGCCATTCGAAATTCGAGCATCATCACTGCCAGCCAATTCTTCTCAACTGATGATGAGGCGGACGAAGTTGACGATCAGCCAAGACGTCAGACTGCAGCTGCCAAGCGTGCAGTACGCTGGTCTAACCTTTTCCCTGCGTTGCTAAAAGTCTATAAAGAAGGGTATAAGCAAGCACCGGTCTCATAGGCACTCGAGCCTGCCACCCATAAGATTTGCGGTTGCGCTGCTGATAAAAAAGCCCACAAGGCTGTCGCCTGTATCTTTTAAGTGCGGTAAGTATTGGTTTTGGGATACTTTATAAGTAAATAATACCCTTGTTTTTTCTAGGTATTCGACAGTTTGACATCGAATACTGCAAGTCGTGCCCTGACTACGGTTTGCCTTTGGTGCTAATGCGCAGTCATAAGGTTCCTCTGACGCCAAAAGCCCCCGGCCATGCAGTGCATATCAAGTTGATGCAGACAATCCACAATTTGCATTACATTTGCCGCGTCTCTGTGCACAATATTGCAAAATGGCTACAAGCAGATTTTGAGCAAGAGGTATTACTTTTTCTGGGCAATCTTTCATCTAGCGACCTTTTAAATGTACTTTTTGTTTTTTTAGGTTCCTGCTTCTCTCAAGTCTCGCTTGAACGATGCGCTGCCTATCTTTGGCAGAATACTTCTAAGCTTGAAAAAGCAGTTGAGGAAAGAGTTCGGTGTAGAGAACAATGTCTGCCCAGGTTGCAGATACGTGGTACTGTAGTGATTCAATTTTTTTGATTTAAAATTAAGATATACAAAAGTATGCCTACATATTTATATGGTTGTCATGGTTAATATATGGTAGGAGCACGAAAAGACTATAGCACTAGACGGAAGCTTCCAACTACGGCGCTTTCGTCACGTAAAGGATGTCCAGGGTGTAAATTTTAAAGATGAAGAAGAAGTGAACATGCTCTGGGTTAACGATGAAAAGCTCTTTCCTTATAATGAATCGGTAAGATAATATTCTGAGAGTCATGTAACAGTATCTAATACAGTTATATTGATTACATGTATAAGGCTAAAGATGGCTGTGCCTCTTTTGGCGCGCTTGAAAAGCAAGGCGGATCGACCAAGGGTCTTGATCAAACCGGTGCTTTTGCGTGTACCTGTGGTCGCCACGGCTTTCCACTTGCTATAGTCGATATGCGTAGCAAAGGCGAACGGTATTTAGCTTGCTGTTCCTCATTTTTGTCATCATGTATAAAGTACTCACTCTATGTACGTTTAGTTATACCTATGTTCTTAGTGTCTTGAAAAAAGTGACATACAACGAACTGTACGGAAACAACATTCGTATTATGTACGATGTTGGTTGTAAGCTACGAACTGCTTTAAAGGTACTACTTATAACTTACCTCATGTGCACGGTGTCCACATCCTAACATAATTTTCTAGAAAACACCAGAGTTGAAGGACATCGAAGATGTTCCCATTGCGGTCGGTATCTTTCATATTACCGGACACAATGTTGCTTGCCAAATCCAATTTCACCCTCGTTTGGTAAAAGGCTTTGGCATGATCGATGGCGAGTGGCTAGAGCGAATGTGGTCATACCTCAACGGTTTTGTATCCATCACACGTACTATGTCGTCTCTCAACAGGCGACTCGCCTTTACTATTGCGCTCGAGTTTTTCGCAAAAGAAAAAATTGACAACATTGGTACATAAAATCATTATATATGGATGCTAAAGCCTTAAAAGAGGATGGCACTATATATTAACGCAAATATTTTAGGTTTTACAATCCAACGGAAACATGCGCGCGCCCTTCGATTGCTAAACGACGCCGAAAAAGCTCTTCGTGATGCCAACTATTTGGATAAGCTAGAAGTTTTTTTTACAAAAATGGAACGAACGCATAGCACTTGCAACATCTGATCCCACCACAGAAAGTGGACGAACCAAAAAAAAAGTTAGCAATGCATATGAAATTCTTCGTGTAGCCGTTTCAATCTATGACATCATTGATCGAGCATTCAAGAAGCAAGGCAACGGGTAAGGATACATATTTCCTGTTCTTTTCTTTTCTTCCTTTCCTTAACTATATGCCTAGTTACTCACTAAATAGATAATACATCTCTACAAAGGTCACAACCGTACTCAAATCTTTCAGGCCAAAAAGATTCAGCCCGTCCAAAAATGCTCGGATAGTTATAATAACGTCGCTAGAAAACATTCAGTGATAGGTAAAAGACATGCTCTACATATTTTTCTACCGTTTTTTTCTCACAAACCGCAATAAATGTTTTTCAGGCTTGAGCCCATTTGAGTACAGTGTTTCTAGTATATTGGCGAAAAACAGCCAGTTCAGAAAGCATGCCAATCTTCTTAATACCATAGGTGATGGGCTACCTTACGATGCTTTACATGGCTATCTGAGAGCTAAAGAAGAGTCGCATATGTTGAAGGTCTGCACAGTATTATATTAGGGGTTTACCGCGCTGTGGACAAGTTGGACATGGACTGGGAGGCACTTCGGATCACCAAAGCAACGGCACTACAATTACCTCTGAAAAGTGTTATTGCGACTATCCCCTCAGTGCCCCAACCACGTCGACCTGGATACAACAAACTGCAAGTCCGAGATTTGTTTTATTACGACGCCACACACCAACATTTACTACTACGACAAAGAAATGATCCAGCAACAAGGCCGATCTTGCTTACACGATTTACGCATGACCTTGCTGCCTTTCGCTTCATACTGAAACCATTTTTCGCTCGTTTATGCCTCCCACCACACCATACTGGTGGTGGCCATCCCACAACACCTGGTGATACCGACTTCACACCATTCAGCCGTCAGCTACTCAATCAGCCTGGAATCACCGACAACAACACCAAACACTATCGTACTGCCATCATCGCCCGACTCCACCCGACGCCACCCTACTCTACAGTAAACTGGCATCTCTTTTGGAAAACGCCTATGGATCATACCACCAGAAACATTTTTTACCGGATTTTCCATGGCACACTGCCCACCGCAAGTCTACTTTACCAACGCACTACCAATTTTTTGCCGAATCGCACCTGCTCTATTTGTCGCCAAGATGAAGACACCCGTGACCATTTTTTGGTGCAATGCCCCCTCAAACGGGCGGTCTGGATAAATGTTTGGCAACACTTCATGCATAGCGATCCGAATCTCGAGTCTACCTTGATCTTTATCACAACATGCAAGAAACCGTATCATCATTTCACTGCCAAGCAATTACTATGCTTTCTCTCATACATTACACTACATATTTGGCGCGCCCATTGGAACCATATCTTTAACAATATCCCTTTTTCTTCTTCACATGTATCCGCAGATGCCATACATGCGATACAAACTTATATGGACCTTTAAAAAAAAAAAAATTACCACCAAACCCCTTTCTTATATATACCTACTTCTGTATCTGTATCTTTTCGCTCATCAGTGTTTTGCGGCCGCAGGCACATTACTTCTTTTGAACATGTGACTTGTATTTTAATAAAATCCCAGAGGCTATCCACCTCTCATACAAAAAAAAAAAAGTATTATATTAGGTTCTTTTTGGATTCGCTCTCATTACAGATATAAACACATATTATAGGACGAAGCAATTTCGGTGCTGAGATATGGAAACGACGTCGTTAACAACCTCACAGCTGCTGCCAAGGATCCCGAGGTTGGGGTTAATATTGCGGACGAAGACCTTGGGACAATCGTTATTTGCAAGCAGAAGCTCGTGGGGGCTAAGCGTTGGTACGAAGAGCAGAAAACTCGACTTACTAAAATTGCAGCAGGGCTACGATCTGTATCAACCACCATTAGCAATCAGGAAGAAGATGACGAACAAACTGATGAAGTTGACGACGAAGAACCGGCAGCCCAGTTCAATTCGAAAACTGGATTGAAAACATTAATTAATTGAAAAGAACAAAACTTCATACAAATACTTGATCCCTTACATCCATAGATACAATATTCAAATATATTTATCGCTATTACTCATACTTGCGTTTCGGATAGTTGGATAGTGCACAGACAGAGTGTAAATCAGCTTAAAAGTGGTAGCAGCTCGTTATTCAAAAGCGTGCATTTTTCTTCATCACGGGAAGACAACCATAGTAACAAAACTGAAACATTGGTAGAAAACAGAACTCTCAAAAGATCGAATCTGTGAACCTTTGTTTTCGACATCGACATAAAACTTACTGTAACTATCTTGAGCAAATTTGATAGTAAAATTCCATAACAGTGTATAAGACAGATAGCCTACTAGCTATAGGCATTGGGTCAAAACATATAGTCCAAAAAGGTTCTTTATACTTCATGTCGCTGCCTAGTATGGTCAAATCTTTTGCCAAAAAAGTAAGTATTGTGTTACCTTTATCCACCATTAACACCTACTGCGCATCGCACTACCACCTCCAGCACCTCAGCATAAAAATATCTTCGATTCCCATGAGCTTTAAATATGTTGTAAAGAAGTGCTCAAGGAGTCGATTGATATTTAGTTGATGGGCTGTACGATTTGTTTACGTGGATGAAACAATATTAAAAGACGAGAGGTGGATATGGAAAACGGTGTGATTTTTGCAGTAAAGCAAAGGGGTTAGTTAGCCTGTCCTTTTGATCAAAAACGGTCTGTTTCGACAAAAACATTTCTGACAGATTTTCATGTTTCATCCAAGCATATAGAAGACGATGAGACGAATACGATGATACCAATTACATTACCATATTCAGCTGTTATCGTCTCCAAAAAGACACTTTTGTCGATGGTTTTTTTAACAGAGTTGCTCGAGCGACCAAATTTTTCCTTGCGTAGACCAAATTTTTACATATAGGAGTTTAAACATCCGTTACACATGTCTCCTCTACTATCTTCACTCCTTCGGGAGACCAAACTTCTCCCCACACCAATTTCAGATTTTCCTTACAATCTGTAATTCCTTGCGTAGACCAAAAAAAAGTGGAAGTGTAATTCTTTGTGTAGACCAAATAATCATGTTGCCTTGTAGTGACGTTCAGTAAGTGAGATATAATATCCAGTGGTAGCCATTTACCATGCAGGTTTGACATTTTCTTTTATTGAACATTGTTCTTTTTCTTTTTTTAACAGAAGAATATAGAGAAAGAGAAAAAAAGTGAAAGTGTATAGGGATATGTTGGAGAAGATAATGTATGGTTCTGCTATTTATTCATCAGAGTATATGATGCTCTTGGTCGCCCTAATCTTCACTGTCTGAGTCATCGTCATCTGGATATTTGAAACAGCCGTAGTCGACGCTACGCTCCATGCGGAAAAGCGCCATGTTGCTGAGGGGACTGTATTCTTCTGCTAGCCTAATCGTGCAATCACAATCTTCTTCTGTCTCACCGGCCGTCTCAAAATCTTCCCTAATAAGGCGCATACCGACCTCTGGAACAAGAACAGAGGCTATATATTCCGGGGTATCCATCGGTTTGATGTGCTCATTCGCAGCATCGATCTCGTGTACCAGCATGTCTTGGAGTGTTTTTGCGATTATTTTTTTGCCTTTAAACCCATAGTATCCAGGCTATAAAATATAAAGATAATTGTTATTATATCATAGGTTCTACTATGTATACATTTCAATTTTGCAAAACTTACCATATGGTCTTTGAAAATGCTCATCTTTAACATTGGATTTTTCGCAGCTCTGATGCTCGGTGCATTTTTGTAGTATTCTATGATCTTCTTCTTGAAATAGCTTTGAAACGGCTTATCCATTATCAAATCCTTGAGCTCGTTTATCCATTTTGCGATCCGTTCCGGCAAGGCCTCGAATTCGACCAAAGGGAATTTGTTCGCTAGGCGCATTGGCTCGTAGACCATAATGTCGAGATGCGGTCTACACCAAGCAACATCATTCTGTCGATGAGGTTTCTTTACTTTCGAATGCGGAAAGACGCTGAAATAATTGGGCGACAAGGATGCTTGTAATGGTGTAGGCAAAGGAGTTGAGCACCTCCAGCAGGCGATCACTAAAAACTATTAGAAAAATCAGCTACACGTCGTTGAGCTTATAACAGCAAAAAGCTTATATACTTGCCTGGTTCCACTTGGTCGAATACCTCCTGCATATGATGCTCTTCATCAAGCGTGTATGAAGGCGTCGGTGCTTTTTAGCTGGTCGGCTTTCTTGTACAGTATCGATATCGTATGCTTTCTGTTTTCTGTTAATATGCTTTCAATAGAATCAGGATCGGATGCAATTATCTGCACTTAATTGCCGGCCAAGTTGTCCATGCGTGCGAGGAATCGTTTGTTTCGGTGTTCGATTATAGCCACGGTATAGAAATGTGCTCCTCCTGATGACGTTGAATAAATCCTTGCATGCAATACATATTCTTCCGATATTCCACCTTCGTCGTCTGTGAGCATAAGCCGGTAGGGAAACATAGTAGGCCGACCATGTCGTTCTCTTTCGTCGTCTGCAAAGATAAGGAATGTCGGAAATTCTGTTGGCACATTATATTCCATTGCAGAGCAACTACAGCCTGGTTCGGGACAGCCTTGTAGAGCGAGCCTTTCGTCCTCGATGTGAATGTTGTAGAGTAGCTTCCCAAACTCGACAGGGTCTTCTGCGCTTGAGACCAAGTCCTCAATGTAAACTGCCGGCCTGAGGTAGTGTGAATCGGCAGGATAAAATACACCGTGCTCTTCACA